GTTCCTGCGTGAGGCGTGCTGTCTGTTCGACCGAGTCCAATTCCATACCAAGAAAAGAGATCCTCTGCGTCGGGGAGAGTTTGCTCTTTTCCCAGTTGACCCGAAGGCCCAACAGGCTGAGGTGTGAGAGCACCAAATCCCTGTGTTCGCACAATTAATCCTGAGACTGAGTGAGTACGAGCCAGTCGTCGCGGTAGTTGAGAATGCGAATGCCCTGTTCTCGCAACTTACGTGAAGACACGGGGCAACAGGGACAGCCCGGAGGGCAGGACCTCGTACTGATATGCTCGTCCTTCGGACGCGAACCACAGCAATGGTCTGTGGTGCGGAAGGGTCGACACATGAAGTACGCGTCCTTCAGGTCGACCGCTGCAAACCAATCTCGGGGACGGATGCACCCGAAGATGATTTCCTGCGTCAACATCTTGAACGGTAACCGGTGAAGGTCCCGGTTCAAGACACGCAGGTCCAAGATTGGTCGTAACCCACCGCCTTTCTTGGGTACAATGAAGTAGGAGCTGTAAAACCCCGTCTTAATAACGGCTGGAGGGACCGGCTCTATCGCCTCCTTCGCCAGTAGGACTGCGACCTCCACCTGCAAGACAGGACCATCGGCCGCCTTCACTGTTGTGAAGCGGATGCCACTGAACTTCGGGGGGGACGCCGGGCGACTGAATCGCATAGCCAAGCCTGACGGCCAGCGAGACGGGCTGGGTAGCTCTAGCCAGGCACCCAGATACCATGCAAGCGGGACCAACAGAACCACTGCCATACCCACAGTGGGGCAGCGAAGTGGAAGGCAGGGACCCAACTCGGGCGGCTTGTGAGTGGACCGAACAAGGGTCTGAGTGTGCGGTGCAACGCTTACCTGGTTCCACAGGTTGGTAGAGGGTGCGTGAGTAGGGCCTTTGTTGACTCTCTCGAACCGCCCGCTGCTGCCAGCTGGCGAAGGAGGAGGATGAGCGTGGTCCGGTGTTGGTCCGTTGGTCCGGTCTTGCTCTTTTGCTCACCTCCAGATTTGACGGGGGCCCAGACGGGTGGGGCGGCCTGCCTACGCCCAGTTCCACGGTGCCGCTTGCCAGAGCGGATGCACCACGGGAGCGGGGGGCGGATGCAGGGGGCCGCCCTTGGTGATGAGCAGGCTGGGGCGCTGCGTCCGGCGGACGGGGGGACGCCTCAGTCTGCTTCTGTACAGCTGAGAACTGCTAGGCCAGGCTCTCGACCGCATCGCAGAAGAGGCCGATCTGGGACACAGGGGCATTAAGGAACCGAACTATGTCGGCGTCCCTCATTTCGACCAGACAGCCAGTTTTGGCACTTCTGGACACCATAGTGGACATCGCATGACCCAGAGACCGCGCAGTGACCTTCGTTGCTCGTGGCGCGAGGTCCGTAATGGTGCGGAGTTCTTTGAGAACTTCTGGGTCGTGACCACCCTCGTGCAGGTCCCTCAGTGCCTTAGCCTGAAGAACCTGCAGTAACGCCGTAGCGTATAAGGCGGAGGCAGCTTCTCCACAGGCCGTATAAGCATCGCTGGCCAGTCGAGTACCTACAGTAAAAGGTGCCGTCCATGACCTGATGAGCCCCTCATGCACTTCCGGGAAGAAAGGCACCGAGGCGGGGTGCTGAGAACCAGCGCGAACCACCCCGAAGAACCAATCATCCAACCTTGAGGGCTTGGGACACGGTGGAAGTCTCCACTCGAGCCCTACCCCTACGGCGGCCCGAGAAAGCAGAGCCGTTATTTCCGGATCCGATTCAGGCATTGCTACAGTCCCGGAGGAGAGCACCACAGCCGAATCTTCCTCTCCAGAAAGCTCCGGCTCACCCTCCGATGCAGCAATCGATATCCGGTCGTCGGGAGGAGCGCCAAAGGATACAGCTGGTACACTCCTTGTAGAGGGCCCAGCACGTTCCATTGGCAGCTCAACTGGCTGCGGAGTGCCTCAGACCGCCCGCGCTACTGCCTGAAGTAACCCCCACCTGGCTGCTGCCATGAGGAGAACTACATCGAGGCAGAGGCAATGGAACTCCGCCCCTTGAGGAAACGGAGCTCTGGACGGAAGGCGTGGACTACCTCTCCAGGCGGTGGCGCTCTGCGGGCCGAGCTGCATCGCGCGCTCAACCGGAGGGATGTCCACATAACCTTGGGTCTTTAAAAAGACGCCCGTCGCTCGTGGAGCTCTTTTAGACATTTGCTCTTTTAGGAAAAAAGGAAACACTCTTTTAGAGAGAGCGCTGAAGCGCCCAGGGGAGGTCGCGGCGAGACCGCAGAATGGCAGCTGCAGCACGCCGAAGATGAGCAGCACTGAATGGCAACCCCCGCTGACGCGCCGTAACACCAACGCCAGCTGTTTCTTCCAAACACTCGCGGAGATTCGTCCTGAGAAGGCTCGGCTCCGAAGCGAAAAGCTGATGTGCGTTTGCACGCGCTCTCCTTTTATACCCGCGCTGCGGGGCAGGGTGCGCGTGGCGAAACACGCACGCCAACTGTCATTGGCTTGTTTAGTTTACACTCGAAGGTGATTGGGCTCTCGGGCGAGATCCCAATTCGTCAGTCACTGACGTAACGTAGAACATGACTGACTGAATGGGAATGCGAGTTACATAATCAGATTTTTTTTTTAAAGTAACTAGTAAAGTACCGCTTTACTTTTTAATTTAGAAGGAAATATCAGAGTTTTTTTCTTTTTCTAATAAGTAATGGCAGTTAATGTCTTGACTGACTCTCATGTTGCCATGTTGAGAGAAATCAGGAGTAAGTGCAGAGGCATTGTACGCGTTGTGTGAACATGATGTTACTGTATTTCTAGACTAAATATGAACATGTATTTACTCATCTCACATGCACAAAAACAGATTCAGTGTTCCTCAAAATTAATAAAAAATAATAAAAACAGTCAAATGCAAACTCAGATTATTATACAAACCTGCAATAATTAAATATGTTAAAGCTGCAGTCTGTAACTTTTGGCGCTCTAGCGGTTAATAAACAGAACTGCGTGCGTCTTGCGGAAGAACATTGTTGTCGGAGCTACTTCTCTCTGTTTATGTCTATAGCGAATAACACAGGTACTGGGCTACTCCGCAGCGGTACCTACCCGAACCAGTCTAAATAGTCAGAATATAAACACTTATTATAGGTGTACCGTAGTGATTCAGGACAAGCCAAAAACACGGTTTGGAAAATTGATTCATGGTGTACTCACTTATTATATAAATTTTGTACATTTTGAACACAAATAAGTTACGTACTGGAGCTTTAAATAAGACAAATATCATTTATGTATTTAATCCCATTTTATTAACCAGTATCTTTGCTACTGACATTCTATGATCCAATTCAACCATGCTAAGCAAAAATGTCACACTTGTGTTTCATTTTTGTTATTGCTGAATAGTGTTGAACTTTCTTCTCCTGCGTCATATTCTTCATGTAATTTGTTTGAGCTGCTCCCTCTAATTTACAGACATGAATTTACATTTCCTTCAGCCTGAGGCATATTCATTTCACTTTTGGTGTGAAATGTCTTGGTTACGTACGTAACCCTCGTTCCCAGATGACTTTCAGAGAAAACGCCAATGAATTTTGGCTAGTGGATTTTGCATACCTGAGCCACTCCCCATGCATACGGGTATAAATAGGTGACAGGTGCATCCACTCATTCAGGTTTTACGCTGAGGAACCAAGAACGTGTCCCTGGCAACCAGTGATGGTTCGAGGTTGTGGTATGGGGACATAATGTCTCTGTTCCCTCCATCAGGGAACGAGGTCTACGTACATAACTGAGACGTTCCCGATCTGTTATTCCCTATCCTAATCACTACAAGTTATTTCATGACAAAATAGGGGGTCCATGGAAAGTGCCACAACCTGAACCCTGTCACAACCCTGTAGCGCTGCAAATGTTGACAAGCAGCCGCATATCAGACAAATGCTACGCAAAGGTTGTAAACTTCCCAAACACCCCAGTGCAAATTCATTGACCTAGGTGCCTGCAGGGACCAAAAAGTGAGTACATCGCTGCTGGAGATAGCCAAGCCGCTGTTCCTATGACAGAAACAATTTTCTTAAGAGTAGGGATTTCGACCTTTATGAAAGGTGCTTCACACCTTTCCTGTCTGTTGTTTACAGCTTGGCAGTAACGAAGGGGAAGCGAGCCTTCCAGAGAAGGATGCTACGGAGACCACATCCTGCCCGTAGGGAGGTTTCATGTGGAGACCCTGATATGAACTGACCCAGGCCTGGGGCAGTACTACATATGGAATGAGTCTCTGAGGCAGGTCCTACCTAGGAGTAGGGAGGAACGGCTGCCAGCAGAGACTGACAGAGTGGTCTGTCAAAGGGAAGACAAGGGTTCACAGAGAGGGAAACCTAACCGTGGAAGAATACACATATGGGATCGCCCGCAGATAATCAAGCCATATGGACACCTAGCCCAGTAAAGGGGCTGACCAGAACCCCGGGCAAGTTAACACCGATACTGGGCCTGGTGTCAGACTGCTCCACCCAGTCTGACTGCAGGGGGTGCTGGAGGATACTCAACTAGTGTTCGCCGACCGGGGAACTTACTGGAGGAGGAAAAGGCGCTCGCATCCCTGGGTGAGGGGGAGTGGCTCAGTAAGTGTGACAGCAGCAGGCTCTTCCCACCACTTACCTGTTACCCAACACATGGGAAGAAACCGACTCAACGCAGAGACTGTAAAATCTTGTAAAGGTGTTCGGTGTCGCCCAGCCCGCAGCTCTACAGATGTCTGCCAGAGAGGCGCAGTGCGCCAGTGCATAGGAGGAGGCAACACTCCGTGTGGAGTGAGCCCTCACCCCCATGGGACGCTGCTCGCCTTGGGATTGGTAGGCCAAGGCAATGGCATCCACTATTCACTCACCTCAATAGCAGACAAAGACATGTGCGATGCTCTTACGGGACACAGCAACGCCAAGGCTGGATCTGCCTCCTCCGAGGTCAGTGCTTGCAGGTTCACCACCTGATCGCGAAAGGGAGTGGTGGGAACCTTGGGCACGTATCCAGGCCGGGGTCTCAGGACAACGTGAGAGTAGGCTGGCCTGAACACATCATCTTCGCTCACCGAAAATGCTTGGAGGTCCCCGGCCCTCTTGATGGAAGTGAGCGCAGTCAGAAGCACTCTCTTTGCAGACAGGAACTTAAGCTCAACTGAATACAGCTGCTCAAAGGGATCCCTCTGAAGGCAAGCCAGGACAGTAGAGAGATCACAGGAGGGCACCAGGGGTGGCCTAGGAGGATTCAACCTTCTGGCACCCCTCAGAAACCTGATGATGAGATTGTGCTTTCCCAGGGACTGGCCGTGCACTGCATCATGATGTGCTGTGATACCAGCTACATACACTTTCAAGGTGGAGGTTGATCTCAGGACAACGTGAGAGTAGGCTGGCCTGAACACATCATCTTCGCTCACCGAAAATGCTTGGAGGTCCCCGGCCCTCTTGATGGAAGTGAGCGCAGTCAGAAGCACTCTCTTTGCAGACAGGAACTTAAGCTCAACTGAATACAGCTGCTCAAAGGGATCCCTCTGAAGGCAAGCCAGGACAGTAGAGAGATCACAGGAGGGCACCAGGGGTGGCCTAGGAGGATTCAACCTTCTGGCACCCCTCAGAAACCTGATGATGAGATTGTGCTTTCCCAGGGACTGGCCGTGCACTGCATCATGATGTGCTGTGATACCAGCTACATACACTTTCAAGGTGGAGGTTGATAGCCTACGCTCCAACCTTTCTTGCAGGAAAGAAAGCACTACTCCAATCGTGCATCTTTGGGGTCTTCTCGGCGAGAAGAACACCAGTTCAAAAACAGACTCCACTTCAGAGCATGGGCTTGCATCGTCGAGGGAGCTCTAGCCTGAGTGACCGTGTTTACCACCGCCGGTGGCAGATCACTTAAGTCTGCCGCGTTCCATCCAGGAGCCACAAATGGAGGTCCCAGAGATCTGGACACGGATGCCATATGGTGCCAAGCCCCTGAGAAAGGAGGTCCTTCCTCAGAGGGATGTGCCAGGGAGGGGCTGTCGCGAGGACCATGAGTTCCAAAAACCAGGTCCGGATCGGCAAGTAAGGCACAACCAGCAAGACTTGTTCCTTGTCCTCCCTGACCTTGCACAGTGTCTGTGTGAGAAGGCTCACTGGGGGAAACGCATACTTGAGTAGAGCCCGAAGCCAGCTGTGTGCCAGTGTATCCATGCTGAGGGGTGCCTCGGTCAGGGAGTAATACAGCTGGCAGTGGGAGGACTCATGGGAAGCAAACAGGTCAACCTGGGCTTCCCTAAATCAAACTCCAGATCAGCTGGATCGTCTCGGGATGAAGTCGCCATTCTCCGGGGAACATGAGCTGTCTTGAGTGGACGTAGGCTACACGATTGAACTCCCCGTAATGTGGACGGCGTGCAGCGACTTGAGCCGCGTCTGACTCCAGAGGAGGAGATGACGGGAAAGCTGTGACATGCGACGTGATCGTAGACCACAACGACATGCTGGGACACTTGTTCTAAGGGCACCCCGGCCCGTAGAAAGGTAAGGTCTGTCCAGGGGCTGAATAGGCGACGTGATCGTAGAACACAACGACATGATGGGACACTTTTTCTAAGGGCACCCCGGTCCGTAGAAAGGTAAGGTCTGTCCAGGGGCTGAACAGGCGGTGACACTCCGGTGTGATGGTCACACGAAGTGTACCACGACGCCATGCCCATCTCAGGACCAGGGAGTGTAACCAGTGCTGAAGTGGTCTCGTATGAAGCAATCCGAGTGGGGTGACTGTGGATGCCATATGCCCCAGGAGCCTCTGAATGTGTTTCAGAGATACCATGTTCCTGCCTCTGAAGGAACTCAGGCAGTTTAGCCCTGACTGGGCACCCTCATTGGTGAGACGTCACTCCATACCGAGAAAAGAGATCTTCTGCATGGGGGAGAGTTTGTTCTTTTCCCAGTTGACCCGAAGCCCCAACTGGCTGAGGTGCTCCGGCACCAGGTCCCTGTGATCGCACAACTGCTCATGATGAGCCAGTCGTCGAGGTAGTTGAGGATTCTGATGCTCACTTCCCATAACGGGGCAAGGGTGCCCTCCGCGACCTTCGTAAAAGACACGGGGGGACAGGGACAGCCCGAAAGGGAAGAGGACCCTGTCCTGCCATGCCTGACCCTCGAACGCAAACCGTAGGAATGGCCTTCATCAAGGAAGAATCAGGACATGAAAGTAAGCATCCTTCAGGTCGACCGCTGCAAACCAATCCTGGGGCTGGATGCATCTGATGATGTGCTTCTGCAGCCCAGGAAAGCATGGCCGACAACTCCAGGTCCGATTCGACAGTGGCGACAACACCCGAGCGGGGCAGCCCAGCCGAATCTTCATCCTCAGAGAACAATAGCCCATCCCCTGATGCTGCGATCGACATCCGGCGGCGCACCGAATGAAATGCTGGGACCGTCACGAGCCAGGCCGAAATCACTCGGGAGCAGCACAAGACATTTGCTGCAGGAGGAGTGAGAGGTCCGCGGGGACGTGCCTGGCAGAGAAGCTATCACTGTGACCCTCAGATCTCCCAGAGTTCTAGCCGGCGGTCCCCTGCTTGTGACAGGGAAACCGGGACGGGTAGAGACAGAGGGTGCCGCTCCGTTCCCCGTGAGGATAGAGAGGCGAGATCGCACCGAAGCCATGCTCATACACTCGCAATGAATGCATGAGTCGTCCACAAATGCAGCTTCAGCGTGTCGGATGCCCAGACACTGAAGGAAATGCTTGTGGCCGTCGACAGAGGACAGGTAACGACCGCAACCAAGAGAACACGGACGGAACGGCA